CAGTTACGTATTGCTATCTTTTCGGTCGAATGTTCTGCACTGTCAACTTGTGCTTCGGTTATGCTCCTCCGAACTTTTTCGTTCGTATATGCTGTTGAGTAAAAGCTAGCATTATCCTCCGAGTTGTCATCACTGCTGTCTTCAATGCGCTCAGTTGAGGTTGGCTCTTATTGTCTTCGCTATTCACTCGTTTTTATTAGAGCCATGAAGTCTCTAATAACGCTTCGAGGCTGGGCTCCAACTTCAAATTTACATTAACATTTATATCCTTCTGCTGATTGGCGTTTTGTATTAGCAAAGTATCGAGCATATTCTTAATGTTAGTGACGACTTCATTACCGAACTCTTTATCTCACTTGTATCTTCGGTAATCGAGCGCAGCTTCTTGCAGCAAGCGCTCCGCTTCCATTAGATGACGGGAATTCGTAGGGTAACCTGTGGTTGCTCCATGTGTTCGGCGCTGCTGCTAAAATTTTGCTAAGTGTTGAAAGTAACCTCGCTTTCGTTATTGTCCGTTTGCTGCGGAGCCAATGGCCAGCGCGCGTACGATGGCCTAGGTGACCTTAGATAACCACGATTAGGCCAAAATGCGTTGTTGTTATATGAATTGGTGGCGTCTTATTCCGCGCTGCAACAGGAATAAAGCGTAAAATAATGAGAAACATATGTATGTATTGTAAATAAGTGTTTTTGCTTAAGAGTTTAGATCAGTCTAGCATTTTAGAAACAACGACTGTTTAAGCTTCAAGTACATTCTGCGATAATAAAACCCAGAACAAGGTGATACGCAGAGAATATATATAGTATAAATGATCAGAATGACGAGCTAAATCGATTTAGCTATATCCTTCTGTCTGTCCGTCTGTATATATGCTAATTACTTTCATAGTTTTTGAGATATCGAGTTGAAACTGTTCACACATCCTTTCTCACCAAGAAGCTGCTCATATGTCGGAACCACCGCTATCCGTTCACTATATGATAAAGATGCCATAAAAGCTGCACGAACAAAATCAAGCTCGATTCCTTTTGTTATTGCCAGAATAAATTATCACAGTTGGGCTTTCGCAAACTGATCTAACCACTTTACGCAACCGTATACCTACCTTTCTGCTCAATTTCAAATATCTTTGGAAAATCCAAAAGCTTGGCGGCGCATCATAATCCTGCACACCACAGATACTGTCGTCTTGGCGCCACAGGATCGCCAGTCATTACGGTGTGATCCCTACATTTGAATCCTTCAAACTAAGCGCACTACTTGTGGCACACTTAATAATGCAATTAACGCTATCTTTATTTCATTCGTTTTGTTGGTGGATGCGTTAACGCACAGTTATTTATTTATAAATGTGTCTATTAATGCGTTAAATTTAAGATAGATACTTTCACGAGCAGTGATCGCAAGAACGTGTGCAAAGTAATTACGTCTGCCGGTTTCCTTAAGTCGAACTCAAGTGATATGCGCCACTGGTTCCAAGTTCAATCTTGATAACACGCATACACACGCAGATTTGCACACATACGGTTTAATATACATACATATACAGCATCATTAAAAAATTAATTTAATAATTTTTCTTTCAAAAATAAATTGCTTCTGTTCACGTATGTGTCCGCTAAATCGAAACAGCTGAACTTGATTTTCAGCAGTTCTGATGTAAACTTTTTTTCACTTCGACAGCAGAGATTTACACATAGTAGCAAAAAAAAATCAAAAGCATGCCCAAAATTAATCTAAGCCGCAATTTTAAAAATTTGTCATCAAGAGCCTTCTTTGCCATCCTCAAGTTTAGCATTTACAACTTATTGGCACATATACCGTACAGGCCTATAACATATGCATGTTTTATTGTTCTTATCAGTAGTCTTATTTTATATATTCGTTGAAATAAACAATTCGTTGATTTTGACATTAATCAAAAGTTTGGGGAATTTCATTTTATCCACAAACAGTTATTTGCAAAATCTACTCAATTCCTGCTTTAACATAGGTATAAAAGATTTGTGGTTAATTTATTGCGTCAAATAATCGCATTTCACATTTAAATGAAGTATTGCTGTTACAAAATTCTAAAGCAGAGATCTAGTGCTCGAGTTATTATATTGTAAAGATAGTTAAAAATTGTTTACTATAATTTATATACTTGTACATCATATGTATGTAACTATTTTTATTTCTAAGGAGTCATCCGAAGTAGAAAATTAAGCAAAAAAGAAAAACTAAACTTTCTTTAAACCGAAGCTATAATACCTTCACAAATAAAAAGTTTTCATACTTGATTTTGATCTCTCATAAAAAGTTTGCCATACATGGACTGATCCATCAGTTTGTATGGCAGGCTTAACGCTATAGTCTAATCAAAACAAAATTTCGGTGATTTCGCTGCCTTAATTTTCAATAATCTTGCAAATTTTCTTAGATATTTTGCAAATAAAAAGTTTCTTTTAAGAACTTGTTTTAATCCTTCAGTTCAGCAGCGGTTGTGGAACAGGTGCAAAATTTCAGATCGATATCTCATAAACTAATTCTTATAAATACATACAGACAGACGTTCATCTCTAAATCAACTCAGCTCGTCACGCTGATCACATATATATATATATATATATGCTTTATAGGCTTACCCACATTTTCTTTTGGCGTTACAAACATACCTACTCTGTTCAGGATTTAAATATTGACGTCACAAGCCAAGCTATCTGCAAAGAGAGTAACAGTACCAAAGCTATTCTACCATATTTTTATTCAAAGAATAACGTAAATAATCAAAATGTTCCAATATATTGAAATGTATGTATGTATTTTAGAAAATTTCAATATTAGTTATATACATATTATATATGCCATTTTGCATTCTACTAATAAATGAACGAAGAGTATTGAGGAAACTAAAATACGCTTCGATGATTCAAATGAAATGAAGAGTAGTGAGGAAACATACAAGGCTGTAACGGGATTAAACGAATCGAATCACGATGAAAGTAGTGAGGAAACTGAAACACCCTTTACGGATTACCCTTATGATTATGATATAATCGAATTATTGAAAAATATTGACTCTAGAAAATTACTGTAATATACAAAAAGAAAGTATGACAAATAAAGAAATAAAAACAAAAAATTCTGTAAATATTTCAAAACATCAGAATTTCCATATTTTGTATTTCAGTTTGAAGAGCTTCAAAAAATTTCAGGAACTATAAAGTTTTAATCTATACTTAATATTATAAATGCGAAAGTCCGTTTGTTTGTTAAGCTTTCACGCAAAAACTACTTAACAGATCATCATGAAATTTTGTACATATACTCTTAGAGGTGTCAGAATGAACATAGGATACTTTTTATTACAAAATTTATAACTTTTTTACGGATTATTAAAAAAATTATTTTGGAAGATTATATATGTTTGGAAAATAAATTTGAAAACTTTGAAATTGAAAAAAAAAAGTTTGGCAGAAATGATTGTTTGTCTAAAAAATTAAAAATGAAAGAAAACATAAATGTATAAAAAACGTAAATCAGAGAAATAACACAAATATTATTAGTTACTCTTATTAAATATAAAAATGCCTCGAAAGCGGAAATCGGCGCTGTCAAGAAATTCTACGTCGGTGCGTAAGGCTAAATTAAAAACTATAAGCCAATGAATCCATATCTACTATAATGATATCAGTTATTTAAATAAAATATAAAATAAAATTAAATTTGAATTGGTATATAAGAGCTGCCCAACATTCTTCTGGAAAGCGAGAAGGCAGTAAAAGATTAAGCCAAGCTGTTGGTTTTTATTTTGATATTTTCGATGACTTATAACTCCATTAGTGCCTAATCACTAAGAAAAATGTATTTACATGTATTTTAATTCTGCGCCCGGAAATTAGCTCAAACAGTGCTAAATGCTCAACAGAATTTAAATCTGTCGCTTGAGCTGATCAGAGCAGCTTTTTGATATTGATTTCTATAAAAGCACTACTCGGTAGACGGTATGCGAGTTTTGGAATAGAAATAGCAATAGAATTGGTAGATAAACAATGCAGTGTTTATGCAAATTTTTGCTTGTAGCATCAACTCAAGCCCTATCTTCCTATCAATTTTTACCAAATTACTAACAAACACTTTTGAGAAATAGCCCTTAATTATGAGAGATTCCCTGTCCTGTTAATTGAACACACTGTGGATTCAAGCCATCTAGTTTTATAAAATACTCTCTCTAGTGCTACATAAATACACTATTAAGTTTGTGGCTGAGTCGATGGTTACCGTTCATCTGTATATACCCAAACAAGTCTCTGTGTTTTTAAGTTATCGATCTGAAATTTTGCGTACATGCTTTTCTCCAAAAGGAGCTGCTCATTTGACGGAACTGCCGATATCGAACCACTATAGGATACAGCTGCCATACAAAGTGATCGATCAAAATCAAGTACTTGTATGAAATACTTATTTAATTGACAAGATATCTTCACGAAATTTGGTATGGATTATTGTTCAAGGCAACGTCACAATCTCCGATTGTTCAGATCGGACCACTATTGGATATGTATGGCAGCAATACAAATTTTTCGATGAAATTCAAGACATTGAAGGCCAGGTTACGTTTTCAAACTTAGTTATACATACAAGTATGTATGTATAGTTTCGATAAGAAGTGCACCTGGTATTATAGTTTCAGTGCAGCCGAAGTTCGCGTTTTTTTCTTGTTTTCACTAAAATAGGTTTTACACAATAAATATATAAAACGTTCTATTAATATTAGTATTCTAAATAAGTCATCAATATTTTTTAGAAAATGGAAAAAATCACCATTTCTTTATTGAATAAGAAAGTGTATGCTAAAAAAAACTGTTTCAGCTTGTAGGAGCTGACACATTCTTATATAAATACGTATATATTTATAATAATTCCTCGGCTTTTCTCCAGCGTTAATATAATACATTTAGTATTTACGTAGCTTGTTTACAAATATGTCTAACGGAAAATCACACTGCGAAATGCCTTAATGCGAAAGTTGTGCTTATAGGGTCACGAGATTTGTTTTTTGTAATGATAAGAATGTTAGTTTTGATGTAACCGCAAATACATGCAAAAATTACTTTGAAATGTGCACTTTTAAAAATAAATTTTTTTCAGCGTTCAGATTAAAAATCTTTCTTCCTTACTCTTACGATTACTGGGATAGATTATGGGATTTTTGCAAATTACGAAGACATGATTACACATCGAAAAACCTGACGTAGAACCAAGTGTAACTGTATACTTAAGAATTTACAGCTGTTTGGCCAATCCAACTATTATATTTATGGCTATTTATGAATTTTGTCAGGGTCGTGAACTCGAAATTCTCCGGAATATTGTCACATAAAGGTAAGTTGAACTTTTTTGTTAATGCCTCCGAATTGCTTTTGGTTTTTTGTGATTATCTTTTTACGACAAGCATAAGTTGGAAAAATAGTGTTTTCGCAAAATGTTGGTCAACAGTTGTGTTTCTTCAATTTTCGTTATCTCTCGCTGTCGCATTAATCCATATACATAGCTGCAATAGTGGCTTTTAGAGACAATTGAGAGCATTTGCAGCTTTTTATGGCAATTTTTGAGTGGATGATGGGTCCTTTTCAATGCCTGCAGATATGGTGGATGACAATTAAAGCTATGAGATATAGAGTCTGAATGGATTAGAGCTCAACAACTCTCTGAGGAAGCTTTAATAGGTGAGTTCGAAATATATTAATACTTGTTGTTCCGAAAAAAGTCAATAAACGACGTCTTATAACTATGATCTTAGTATAAAATAATGCATGTGGAGATAATGAGTGGTTCATACAGTGTTTGTGTTTTAAAAATGTTATTTTTATAGGGAAAACTGGCTACCGCTGGTAATTATAATTTCGCTAAAAAAAAACGTTTTCGGTTTGAAAAAGTGTAAGTAAGTGGATATTAAAGTTTCGCTGAAAAAAACTAATGTTTTGGGTTTGAAAAAGCGTAAGTTTTTCCAAATTCAATGTTGGTTAGCCCGAAAGTACATTTATAGAGATTAAAGTGATAGAGAGAGATATGTACCTAAGTTCGAAAACTCAAAATTTCTGAGGAAGCACAATTTTAGCTCGGCAGCTTTATAGATAAGCAAACCTTCAATATCTTAGGATCAGATTTTGAATTTTTGGCTTTATAAATGTGTTTTTTCGAAAATAATATTCGAAGCGACAACGGTGAGCGCTAAAGAGGCATTATGAATTATATTTGTGCTTGGAAATTGTCTGAACTATGTATGAACTTGAAGATTATTTTAAATTTAAAAGAAACTATACTAAAATCGTTGCTCTGCGCGTCAAGTTTTATCGTGAAGATATTATATGACCCGCTGATGCCAACTTGTCCACTCGACGCACTTATGGCTCGGGTTAGACTTTTCGGAGTAGTGCTGTTGGATATCGATGTTATATCAGCAATCCAATATGGATTTCAAAGTAGTATCGAGAAAGTCATTGTTGAGAGAGTGTCAAAAATTGTTTCCCGGATCTTTAAAAACTCAATCAAAAGTTTGCACTTCTAATGTTCTGATAATATGGGCGTATTCTCCAAATTTTAAAAACTAATCAATATAAGCCCATCCATATTTAAATATATATATACAAGTATACATATATATTATCTATACCAGCCTTGCTATGTATTTTTATGTTGGCTTGAACATAATAATTAGTATATGAAAAAAATATAGTCGACGATAATGTGATGGGCCGTACCTTCAAATAACAAGGAGTAAGGAAAATTATATGATATGCCGAAATAAAGCAAACCAACAATTATAAATGTGAAGGTAATAAATCCAATAAATGTAATTGTTATTGAAAGTGAAACAAGTGAACCAATGTGTTATGGATACGTAAATATATACTTATATGTAAACACAAAAAAATGTGGAATAATGTGATATTGGCTTGTCGTGGTTAATTTGCTGGCAGGTTGTTAATGACACCTCTAATTAGATGACATTAGCGCGTAAATAAATTTATAACATGTGCTTTCGGAAATCGGTAAGTTTCGGATGTTTGCTAAAACGCGTATTTTTCCATAAGTAATTTTGAAATAAAATTAGCTGCACAAAATCAAGAAAAAATCAAGTAAGGAGGGATAATTCTATATGTAGCCGAATATTTTAGATTCTTGTAATGTGAATACGAGCCGATAGGCAAAAATTTTAGTACCGAATCACTTTCTACTAACCGAAGAATATCCATATACTGGGTATATGAGGGTTGAAGGCTAAGTAGGGTTTGGCAGGTAATCATTTACTATGAGCGCACCACACTTTTAGTCCCCGTACTGCCAACAATTGTACTGGCTGAAGGAAGTAATCGCGCAGAAGCGAACAGCTTTGGTCAAAGGAAGGAATTATGTTCCATTAGGACAACGCTAGGCCACACACATCGATAGTGAGTCGGCCGAAGCTTCGGTGGCTTGGTTTGGCAGGTTGTTATGAATGCAACTTATAGTCCGGATCTGGCAGCAAGTGACTACTACCTGTTCCTGGCTATGGTGAATGAGTTTGCTGGTGACATATTCGCCTCAAGAGAAGCTTGTAAAAATCGACTGTTCCAGTTTTGTGCCAATAAGAATGAGGATTTGTAGGAGCGTCGTAGATAAGTATGACAATCGGTGCTATATATTGTGATAGTGACCAAACTATTGTTAATGATTTCTACAGTATTCGCTTGTGTATTTTAAATAAAACGCAATGCTTTCAGATAGTTATCATTAAATTTTCAATTTTTGTAACAATTTTTTGTTCAAATTTGTCATACGAAACACTAAAATTTTTTAGCTGGAATAGCAATAATTACAAACAATTATAATATATATTTTTTAAACATATTGCTAATAATATATTTGTACACATACAAACATCTATATATTTTTTCAAAATTTATCAATAATAAACCAATCTTTTGCGAAAAAAGTGTGCAAAAAAAATAAGAGTACGAAAATGCGTGGCAACATTCGCGATTGTGAACCATCAACATCATGTCTGCGTCGTAATATTTATCATCTGCACGTGCCGCTCTTCGTTTTCGACACGATACGACTATTTCAGGATCATCCGAAATTTTTGCGCGGCCTAAAGGAATACCACATTATCGACATGCTGGAGAAGGAGTAAGTTGTTACTATTATAAACTTCGAAAAAAATTATCTAGAGTTCGAATAATCCATGCTTTTATTGCCTGCAGGGGTTATGCTTGTGGTGACGTTGAGGCACAGGTGAAAATGGCGTTAAAAGAGCTCTCCTCTAGCGGCTTCGTACGTTACATAAACAATGGCTATAGAACACTGGGACCATTTGCACGTCTGGCACTGGCGCGTACACCGCGTCAATTCAATATTGCTTGGGATCGACTTTGCGAGTTGCAAAAAATCAGCACTACGAGCTTGAATTCCTCGTGTAGCTCACGCATTCCATGTACAATGTAAGGGATTATAATAAAATTAGTAGGAAAGCGAGAGAGAGAGTACCACTTTCAAATGAAAATAAAATTTCGCAATAAATTAATTAAATTAATTATTGTATTCACAGCTTAGTGTAACTAATAAAAACCAAACGTTTTCCAACAAAGTATATATTTTGGTTTTACTTTGATGGATAGACTTCTGATTGGCATAATTTATGTCTATATGGGTAACTTCAGTATTCAGCATGCAGTTCTGGAGAGTTCCAAAAATTCGTTTTATAAATGAAAATTTGTTATAATAAAAATAACTAGTTAGTGACCAGAACTCCAGTCTATATACCTATAACTTACGCTTACCGAAAAATCGACGAGCATGAAAAATTTATAAAAAAGGATACGTTCTAAACTCAACTCAATCACACGGAAACATTTTTTCGTTCTCCGGCTAATGGGATGCATCCGCTAGGTGGTTAAAACCCTTCGGATGGCATAGAGAGTTGCATGTTCTTTCATTATCGCTAGCAATCGCACTGGCGAACGTAGAGTGCTTCTTTATTCAAACTCCGTAAAAAAGAGAGAATAAATTTCTACTGCTTGGGGTTTCCCAGATTTTATTTATAAGCAAGGCGGCAAGGCTGAGTTCTAGTCATATCGGATTTAACACGTTTTGGGTTTTTCTTAAAAATCAGAAACCGAATTGAGACAATTGAAGTAAGTAAAAGAGAACTGAGACCATCGAACTATAGAGAACTTAACTGAATACGTTGAGAAGATGAAGGCTCCAATCAAAAAGAAGAAAAGGAGGGCGGCGACAAGTTACTTCTTATCTTCTTTATTTAACAGTTTAACTCGTTTTCTAAGGTTGTTCATACATAAGTCTCTCCATATATTTATATTCAAATAGTGCAAGAACTCAAGTATTTAATAGGGGGTTTCTTTTTGTGTACTAATAACATTCGGTAATTGTCGCTAATGCAATAACAAATAATTGCTTTCATCGTTACTTAAATTGTTCACCTTGTTGTTGTATATTATTTACTTTTGGCTCTTTGCATAGCTCCGACCCTTTCAGATTTCTTCATGTGCATATTTCAGCTTTGCATACCTATAAATATGTTTGTATAACCGTGATGATACCGTTCCGAGGTGGTCCGAAATATTCATATGTGCATGTATTTGTACGCTTGTATGTATATTTGCCTGTAGTTGTAGGCGAATATGTAACGCTGTTTTTGTCTGCAGTCTAATGTAAGGGGCTTGTAGTGCCACTTCGAAGCTCATTATCTATAGCTCACATCATTGTCAATGGCTGACTTACATTTGGAAAGCTAACATTTGACAATATTTGTCGGTATACCATTTATTACAACAAAAACACATATACATATGTAAGTATATTCATTAGCTGGTCCGTGTCGTCTTTGGCCCATCCTTTTGACACTTAACCCTGTTAACTATACAAATAATTATTTTTGGGTAATTACAATGCATTCATGTAAATATAGTTAAACTGACAGGTGAGCTATTTCTCAACAATTATCCTAAAGCACCCATACTTTCTAGCATACATATATGCTATATTATGCATTAATGTCCTTTAAGCGTTTCTAGCTTATAAAATGCTTTAGAAACTTATGTGTGCATGGAACTTTAAAATTTGAGAATAAAATTAAACATTCCAAAATCAAATTCGAAGTTATAGACCTCTTGGGATTTTTGACATAAAATACCATTTTCTCGGATGACCAAACCTTAAAAAGCCCCTTTTTGATTTATTTATACATATTTTAAGAATACACAGTAAACATTTTCAAGAAAAAATGTAATTTTTTTCGAGTTATAAGCGATCTCCGAAGATGCGGTAAAACGGTTCTTTGCTGCAATGATTCAGTCCTCTCTATAGAATATTTTACCTGTACAATCACCAACGAACGAAAAAACATAAAAAATTGCGTTTAAAAAAATTTTAATTATACAACATTTAAACAATGTTGATAGTATTTGATCAGCTAAAATTCGAGTTTTGTTCATATCAAAAGTGATCTTATCATTTGCGCCCGAGTAATTACTGCACATCAGTCTATTCGAAAAATGATGTGTTGAGAAAAATGCTTTTAGATTAAACTGAAAGAGTTGATTGAACTGAGCGTCTACAATTTAGAAGTTTTTAACTTGAAAAGTATTAATTATAGCATAATATTAATTTAAAATTTTTGTATGATTATTTCAAGGTATAGACTGTCGCAAAAATATGTGTTCAAAATTGAAACCTTAACCCTTCTTCAAAAACAGATAGAGTTTTGGATGAAAAATTATAAAAAAAAAAAATCAAGAAATGTACCGCAGCGCCATCTAGCGCTAGTTTTGAATTATACTTTGACCACGGCGCCACCTAGCGTAAATACAAAAATTAAAACCACGAGCTAAAAAAACCAATTTTACGATAACTTTACCAATAATATTGTATATAATAATAATACCATTATTTGATCGAATATTATATTACTTTATGTCATACGGGTCAATTAAGCTGGATCCCACTGCAATTTTAATGTAATAATGAATATTTAATTTGCGAAATATGGCGACAATCACGCTATCAATAAAAATGATAACCTTACGCAGCATTATTTCATGCACTTCATCACCTTGATCCATTGTAAACGTTTGTGTAGGTATATATCTTCCGTAAATAATTAAAATCCGGTTCCAAGATAACCTTTACAGTGGAATTGCAGTTACTAATTTAATGAAAAAGTGCTCGGTGGAAATCATGCCTGAAGTGCGCTTCTCGCTATTTTAATGAAAAAGTGCTCCGTGGAAATCATGCCTGAAGTGCGCTTCTCGCTATCTAAAAATTTTTCTCTCTCTTCTTCCAGACCATTTGAACACATGAGCTCAAGAGTACAATTGCACGGTGGTCGCATAATAATTGCACTAGTCACCTTCTAGATACCAAAACGTAAACAAAAAATGCATTACCCTGCCATGTCACCTGTTTTATGGTATATATATATACATACATATGTGCACTCTTTCCATGGAGCTGCCGCATCACTTAACCGTTCACCCTCCGCCGCAGAACCTATAATTTATTACTGATATTATGGTATATTACCTGTCTTTATGTATGCCAAGCGAGGTTACACGACTTAATTGTCAACATGCAACCCCTTTTATACTGCATTTTACACATGTCATTTCGTTCTGTTTGGCCGGTGGGCGTGTTAATAGACACAATTTCACCCTGTATAACACCTTTGCCACCGCAGAATGGTAAATGTCGGTGACAAGTTGAGTTGCTTGCTCAACTATCATATAGGTATGTATATAGTGGGTTGATGTACGCTGTGTGGGAGTGAGGGAAAAGTAGCTGTTTTCGTTTTGCAGCCACAACAACACGCATGAGATTTTTCCCAGGTGTAATTTATTGCTTTTGTAATCACTGCAGAATAATCTATTACCACTATGGTGTATTAGCGTCCGCGAATAGACGGACGAGTGTGTGCAACATGCCTGCATATGCAAAATATTAGGGTTGTCGCTAATATGTCTCTGAAAATAAATGGATTGGTGGGTTTATGTTTGCTAAAGCGCTCTAAATAGATACTACTTCGAGAAATTGCAAGTCGAGAGTTGCGGAGATAAAACATTCCCCAGGACAGGTTGATATAGTTTAACGAACAAATTTGTGATCTCAATATATACAATATACTATATAAGTATTATATTTTCCTAAATTGCTTGGCTAACAGCTTTGGATATAATTTTATAAAAAAAATCGTATGATATTTAAACACAATACGCACCTCGGCTATAAGAAATAAACAAGGAACTTTACTCTGAAAATTGTGGTTGAAATGTCTTAAAAAATATAATATCCCTCATAAATTCATTAGAGAATATGATTTCTTAGTTAGCTATGGGGTTTCACCGGATGGATATCTGTCTGAATACATTGTAGATTATAAACGAGAATGGACAACAAGGGAGCGCAGAAGAAAATTGTAAAGGTCACAGAATTCACCACTAAAGCAAGGGGAAGTTCTTCCTTGTTCAAGATGAATTGATGAACTCGAAAAAGACGTGAAGAAGCTTGGCATACAAAATTGGAAAAGCCAAAGCTTAGAAGGAGCTGTAGCGCCAAAAGATGAGGATGTTATCATTTATAATTTGTTAAACATTTTTGCTAAATAAAATATAATATAATAAAAATATATAATAAATATACGTCATAGTTAAAAATGAAACACTCAATTTGAAAAGTTGTATCGGATCACCCTAACATTATGTACATTTATGTACGTATGTGTTCTGTCGATTCCTAAATGTCTGCACAAGTTGCTAAGTCATGAATTACGCGTTCTCCAAATTACTTTTATAATAATTTTGAGCAATTTTCGTAAAAATCGCCATATATATAATATATGAGTACTATAACTTTATTAGACAACTACACGCAGGCACCAAAAACGAAATTGGTATCATATTTATGAATGAATTTAACAACCACCATTACGCATTCTCGGCGATGCGATTTGAGTTCGAGGCTGATTGTAGTCGCGAATTTCACCTTGTTTGTCCATCATCAATGCCTTATCACATGTTTTTTTTGTGCGAAATTCTCTTGCATCATACCTTCGACCTGATTAGTGAAAACAATTTGTGATAAGACACGTCAGACTTCTTTTATGTAAAAATAATAATAATTTAAAGATTAAAATATTAATGAGAGATGCTTGCAATTAATGAGCAGTGGGTCAAAAATTAGGTACAAATGAGGGCAGTACTTTAGGGTTCATCGCAGCATCACCTCACACTGAGAGATGTATGAAGAAACCCGCTTACTTAAGAGAAACGAAAAAAAAACAAGACTAATAATTGCTGCTAAATTTTTATTACGATTGTTTTCTCATTCGTTTGTAATTTTCAAGTCTGTTTGAAGACTCATTTTTGTACTCTTGTGTAATGAGTAAACATTTTCGAAAAACACTCGCTCCGTAATCAGTAAAAATATTATATATTGTTGTTGCTTATACTTGTATATTTATTGTTAGAGAGCCAAAATTTTGTGTTTGGAAAAGTTTTTTATATGATTATTATTATATTTGGTTCTAAATTATATGATATATATTTCCACTAAAAAGAAAATTTTGCTTTATGATTTATAAAAGTGTTTTGAAAAGGAGGACAAAAAATAAGTGAAAGTGGGTATTTTGTCTTTAAAAAATCATATCTTTGAAGTCCACAATACTAATGGTTGTTGTTGCTGTTGCAGCGATTCAAAAATATTCCCAAAAAAAATCTTCGTATCTTTGCTGGATAGGATAAGAAAACACATTTATGTGGTTTATGTAGACCCGACTGTCACTTGAAGCTGGGTATTTGTCATTAAAAACTCACATACGCATATTTCGAGTCCACAAAAGTATTGGTTGTTGTTGCAGTAGTAGCAAGAAAAAAATATGTCAAAAATAATATTGACGAATATTTCCTGGATAGGAAAAAAATCAGAACATGTCGGTTTATGTAGACCCGAATGCCGCGGGACCGAGGCGTTGCGCAACGAGCAGACATTCTTAAAACTAATTGTAGGCGAAGTTAAATCTCGCTCTTTGTATACGATACTGTCGCATATAACAACCGATGCGACAACATCGGTTCAGGTTTTCAAAAATCGTTATTATTCTACAAAGTGATTGCTACAATTCCTCTTAGCTTTTCCGAAAGCCACACATCAAAGTCAATCATAATAAATATAGCCAGCTTAGCGAAAAACAGAAATGGTTATCTTCATATTCTATATGTGGTCTTAGAAATTTTATTTCGAAAGTACCAAAACTAAAGGTCTTTCCCAATCAAATCTCAACTGAGGTCTCTCACTATTTGCTGAGGTTTCTCAGAAGTTTGACTTTCCATAAATAAGCCTTACATGAATAGGATACTAAATTATGGGATTAGGGTAGTCAGAATTTTCAAAAAATCTATTTTTTTTTATTTTGCATTTTCGTTAAATGTAATACTTTGAAAATATTTGCTGAAAATTTCAAGTTGATCCGATTATTACATTTTGAGTTATTCGACAAATAACAAAGAGCGCCCGGGCACTTCAAAGCGCTCGGGAACAAGTAGGTAGCGGCAGCTGCAAGAAACTTTAAATGCGTTTTTCTCAAAACTATGTTTTTCGAACTGGTGACAACTGTAACGCGAAAACCGCTAAGTAGATTTTAATGAAATTTATACAACTTTTAGAATACATAATAAACTCGGGCCTGATCGAAGGATTTTTTTTTTCAAAAATATCGATTTTTTAAGACCAATTAACTGTTGATTTTTTCCCAAAAATCTAGAAAAAAATTTTCTGAGGCCGCCTTGATCTGATTGATTTTAGATGAATCCCCAAGGACTTATGACTGTCAACGCAAGGACCCTTTTTTGGAACTGGGTCAACACAGACAGCTATAACTTTTGAAATTAAAATTTTTTTTTTGAAATTTTCGTGACTTCAAGTCAAAACATTGTATAATAATGCCATATTACTACTTTTGTAAAATAAAATAATTTAATAGCAAAAAAAAATTACTGAAAATTCTATTTTTTTCGTGTCTCTGACTACCCCTAACCCCTTATGTGAAGAACCGTAAAAAACTGACAAACACTAAATTTTTGAAACTTCATTGCTTTATTTAATTATATTTTGTATTGCCTATTGCTTTAATAAGTGCACTTCTACGTAATTCTCTTCATTCAATACAATCAGATTATTAGAATTTTGTGAACTTTTGGCCACCGCTATATCCATAACACGTTGTTCGCAATTACTTGCACCCAGCGCATGAGTTCCCAACTCGCAATCCAAGTAAAAGTCATATGTACGCACATGACCATTTGTGAGCGCAAAGAGTCGCCAACCATCGCTGGACAATTGCAGCGATTGCACCAAATCTTTACGCAGCGCCGAACCATTTATTATTATTTGCTGATCGTAGACACGTAACTCAAACGGACGTTTCTGATTGCTGATCAATGCTATGCAGGCCGCTGTAGATGGACGCGTATCGTATGGCGTTTCGTATGCACTATCAGCCTTACCCAGCAGACGTCTTTCGTTAAGTATTATATTTTGTATGGCGCATGATTTACCAGTGATCGGATCAATGTCAGGCGTTTGAGGTGTAAAGACTACTTTTTGACGATTATCGTCATATGAGTTCGCTACTTCCAAACGTTTCGCATCACTATTGCGTTGCGTTGCCAACTTCTGCTGATTGCAATTGACAATCATCACTGAACCATTTGACAGACCAACAGCAAGGAAATTTTCGTTTGTCAGCACTTGTAAACTGGTTGCGAAAAGCAGACCGCTTTCGTTTATGTTTATTTTACGGAAACGTTCCGCCTTTAGACTCTTCGAACAACTCAGCACGAAATTGCGATTCGTACAAACGTAGATGCGCTCACAACCGGTGTCGATGCCGGTGAAGCGCAAGCCCAGCAATTGCTGCCGCTGTTGCTGCGCCGATTTTGTGCCGTGCAGCTCGCGTAAGATCTCGTCGCTGTATATTTCCTTTTGAAATAGTTGCTTGGTCAGCTGGAACTGAGTTTGGCTGCGTCGCAGACCACGCTCTAGGTAGTCGCGTAGATCGCAAATCGCACTCTGTATTAATTTCACACGAGCCCACGGTGAACTATACTCATAACGGGAGTTTAACATAGATATTGTGCCTCGTTTGCGACTATGTTGGGTATCAGCTGCTTTCGACGTAGCAAAATCGTAATGCTTTACACTCGTTTCCACTAGCGTCCAAATCGATAAGAGGCCGGTGTCGTTAAGTGCAGCGAACTTTAAAAGAATTAACGAAACAGTAATTAATTTGCAGGTGCTTTATGTACGCACTTCTTACCTGTATTGATTTGTAGCTACCCAGCGCCATAACTCGTTGTAGCGTTCGAAAACTTCGTACATCTACCACAGCGCCAAGATCGCTGAGTCTATGAGACTGTTCTGCGCTCGCTGTCCAATTGGGTACCACAGATTGTGTTGCAGCAAAGTGAGTCAGATATCCATCTAATTTTGAGCAGAAGGAGTATGTTTCGCGTAAATCCCACATAGCAATGCTGCCATCATGCAGGCCGCACACAACAATATCCGCACTATCGTAACAGATTTCGACGCGACAAACCTCACTCCATGTGGAGAGCAAGCGAAAGGGCTTCGTGCAATCGCTGGTGTACCAGACCATAAGAAGTTGAGAAAAATCACAGCGATAGACATCAGCGTCGGGCGGACTCGCATGTACCGTTATGATGAGATCGTGTCTAGCACTTGCAAATACACGCACTACGCGTAATGCATTCAACAAGTTCGTTTCGAGCTGCACATAACCCGCGCTAACTTCCTGAAAACTCTGTTGGTTTTGTGGCAGTTTTGTTAAACTGTTCTCTGGTTTGTTGTCGTGCGCTGAGCACAGCACCTTTGTGATGAGTAATGATGAGCGCAGCAGAAACGCGTTTAATTTTTCAAAATCTAACGGTTTTTTCAGACTGCTTAGCTGCGCGCTAACCACATCTTTACGATTATTTTGTCGAAATACCGTTAGCTTTTGTAAACTAACATCGTATTCGTCAGCATTTAAGTTTTGTAACATGTACGCTTCATCCAATGGCGACTCGCCACAGCAGTTTTGTGTTGCCATCAGATCATGCATACCGTTGGCGAATTTCTGCACCGTTTGCAGATCATATAGTGGTGGATGCTGTGTCCACATCGTACGCATGTCGTAGCTGTCCGTTTGACTTTCGCTTGACATGCGATTCTCGTTGGTTTGTGTCGAGCACTGAGTGGTATTTAGCGTACCATATGTTTGCATGTAAACCTCATAGCTAATTGGCTTGAGCTCGAACAGCGAAAACGTTAAAGTGTCAAATTGAATTTTGTTCATTAGCTCGATGCCGCGCTTGCGCCGTATGGGACGCGTATTAAAATCGGCATAACCGCCGTAGGTGCATACAATTCCGCCGTATTTGTCGACCTCCGCTTGTGTATTATTCGTGTTAGCGTAGCTGCTGATGCCCGAATCAAGCTGATCCGTTGAAGCAACACTATAAGTGGTGTCCATGCTGTCGAAATGCTTCTCATTAAGTTGTGTCGCCAGTTCAGAAAACTTTGGTTGCTTTCGCGAATTCATTTCATAATTTCCAGAGTCCAATTTTCGTTCGAGTTCTTTATTGCGTTGTATTACTGTTATCGGATATTGTGTTAATTCGGTTTCTTCTTCGCAATCGGTATCATTAATCGGCATTTCATCGCCACTTTTACTTGTTTCCTCCTGCGTAGTTGAGGAAACACTGCTTTTACTTTTGTCCTCATCGTCGCTGCAAACGCTATGCGGTGATGATTCGCTTTCAGTTTCCCCGGACGAACCATTTTGCGTCGAGGAGCCAGTCTCAAAGTCCGATTCATACGTTTCAAAGTCATCTGAGTAATTATCTATTTCTGGTTTCTTTGCAGCATCACTGAGTTTTGCTTTAAGCGTATTTTCTGCTTTGCTTCGCGTTGCAGATGGTTCTCGTGATTTAGATTTGGCCTTACTGCTCAATGGCTCATCGAAGGCGACTTCGAAAGCTACAGGCTCTCTGACAACCGGCTTTTGGTCGATCACTTCAACTGTGTCTAGTTGCAAGTATTCCGTCTCATGTTGGCTGGCAGTTGTCACATCTGCTAGTATCTGTTGTTCACTTCTTCGCTTTGCCGAGTCGGTACGTAATACGATGATATCTTCATCTTTCAAGGAATGCGTACGCACACGCTTTGGCGGTTCATCGGCATCAACCGCAATCTTGGCAGCCTCTACATCAGCCGGTGTCACAGCTTTTTCTTTTATAGTTCTGGTAGATATAACGCTATCGTCGCTGGTTTCTGCAGTAATTGCTCTGCGTCGAGGTGGTGGGGAGGCAACTGTGACGCTGTGATACGTATCTAATACGGCATTAGCTTTGCTTGCGGTTGAAGGTATCTTTTTGACGGCATCCGCAATATCGCGGTTTTGTTTGGCGCGTATAGGCAGTTCACTAATATTAGCCTTCCTTGTTGTTGCTGTCACATTTCTCTTCACTGTTGTTGGTATATTCTGGTTATGCGTTGCTTTGGATGTGCTGGCAACTCGGTTGCTCGCGGTTGTTTTTTTTATTACCGCGTTTTGTGTTGGTTTTACAACATCTCGCGGAGTTCGAGACTTGCTGAGAGTGGCAGGCTCTGTTCGTCGGGTTTGTATCGTGCTTTTAAGTTTAAGCTTTTCTTCTTCTACACGCTTAGTGGTTGTTGTTGTGGTCGCTGTTGTTTTTTTAAGTTGCGTGTTTACTTTAGGAGCTCCACTTACGGTTTTTGCGGGATAACTTACGGTCGGTTTTACTTTTGCTGTCGTGCCTGCCGTAGTCTTAGCACCCTGTAAGGTTAGATTAAAAAAGAAGAACAGAAGAACGAATACAGTTACTATTTTTCTAAAAAAAATCAAGGGAAAGCGAAATAAAAGGTGAGAAACCACACAAGCTACATACAATTTTTTTTTTTAATTAAGTGCAGTAGCTTCGAATATGTATTGATCCATGTTCGAGTTTCAAAATCGTTGCTGTATGTAATAAGTGACATGATCATCTCTACAATAGGTCGTTTTAACATAACAATTTCTGGCGAAGTGTTAGTGCGAACCTTTAACCAAAGCACCACTTCTGATTTTTGTGAAAACCTAGCGCGATTTGTATTCACGACCCACCAAGCAGCAGTGGCTGCATGTGCAGGCTAGTCTTTTTAGTTGCATTCCTTTCGGCGCTTGGGTTGTTGGTTGAGAAACCATTAATTCTAATATTATGTTAACTAAGCTTCATAAACCTTTTAAATGCTTCTACTTGTAGTATGATCTTACTCATTTTTCACCAGACATTTTAAGCTTGCAAAACTTTGTCCTTCCAGACGTCTTCCCATAAAAGTTTATTAAAATGGATTAATCAGAGTTCCGGTGGAGCCCAAGACGGGCCCAACAATATTGTCGTGATTCCGGACAGGGTTTAACCGCTTTCAGCTGCAAAAGTTGCCCACACCGAAATCCGCGTCAAATTATTACTCTCTGAGTAATCATTGATTTTTTGATAAACACTTTTCAACAATTTCGAGTTAAGTTCGACTAAGTAGACTAGTACGTAAATCAACTGTCATTGCGAAAATGTCAAATGATTGTGCAAACAAAAAAAAACTGTATGTATTACCCTACATAAGCTGTTGATTTTGTATTTACATATATTTAGAAAATAATTTTTACATACATACAAATAAGTCACATATATTCTGAATGAATAGCTCAAATACATACATATACGTATATACATTTGTAAGTTCTTGTACCATGTGTGTAACAGAAAAGGTCGCAGCATTTCACCGTAGCGTGCAATGTCAAAAGAGAGCGCGGATATTAGAGAGATCCATTTGTTGATCGAGAAAAGAGAAAAATGAAGCAGGCGGCTGCAATGGCTCAGATATATTCGCGTATCTGATGGTTACAGTTGTTCACAGTAGACGGCGTCTGCATGTCGACGTGCGATTGGGAATTGATAATATTGTGATTGTATCAATATTTACATTACACACACGTATAGGTATACAAAGAACACATAATTTCAAAGCCATTGACCTAAATCGCAGTGTTAAAATTCAAAACAAACCAGAAAAGGTGGGTGAATATAAAGAAAATATGCACACATATACATACATATAAATATATATTTTTAAGTGAAACAGACGTGCACAAAAAATTCCAGATAAATTTCTGTTCAATTTTGCGACTTTCATTGTTTTAATTAAAAGCTTAACAATTAAGATGTCAATAAAGTGTGTGTATATTATTTTTCATTGAGATTCGCATGTGTATCATTATTGTTGATATGTATGCATGTACGTGTAATTAAAGTGCATATCACAAAGAAATGGCAGAAAACACGGTGCGGTGCAAGTGAAATTTACTTTTTCATATATAGAAATCAAGTAAAGGCATATATATATACATATATTTAAATACAAAACCAAAGCCGAGGTGCCAAAATTAAACGCAAACTGGTTTTCTTATCGCAAGCTACACTTTGTCGCAAAATTAATTTTTATACACGCTCACGTTTCTTAGCTGCGTCGCTTTCGCTTGTGATTTCGACATTTGATTTTTGGCGCTCTCTCTTATCACTTGAAGAATGGAAACCACTACTTAATTAATTTAAAACTGTTGTACTACATTAAATAATCTCGTTCCCGTCTTTATTTGTGTTTAATCAATTAATTTGTTGAGAAAATGTGTCCTCCCATCATTTGGTTGCGTAGCTGTCGTCGTCATTGCGATTGAATTTACAAACGCTTTTGTTATGGCAATTTGTATGGCTGCTTAACAACCGTTGCGGTGAAGGTTTTGGATTAGGGGCAAGTGCAGTGTACACGCGGTGAAGAAATAAATGAATTAAATAGCAACAAGCATAAACAAGTAAAATAAAAATAAACAATTTTGATATCAGCAGAGAACGTATATCATATGTTACAAGCAGAGAACGTATAAATGATATACGTTCTCTGGTTACAAGCGTGAAACAGCTGACAGAGAATGTAAACGCCTCTCTGGTAATAGATTGCGTGTTTATAAAAAACGAGAAATAGATGGCGCTGTTAAACAGTTATTTTTCGAATTTTGATGGATTGCACGCTAATTATTCGTCAAAATTAAATTTTGTTTGCTAATAACATCGACAGAAAGCAACTCGGTTGCAATAATCTCGCGCATTTAGACTCAATCATTATCTTCCTAGCTTTTTACCCTGAACAGGGTATATTAATTTAAATGATACATTCGACAGCCTGTGCCTCTTCACTCCTCATACGACCGCAATTACAGCGAAAGCACATGCTGAAAGGACAAAGAAACGTTGTTGGCAACATACAAGGCAAACGCCCGGCTGGTCATAAACAACGTTGCACCGATATGGTTGCCTGAATGTGCTTATATGGAAAGCTTTGTCACTTGACAAGATATCTTCAAGAAATTTGGTATGAATTCTTGCCTTTGACATTGGTGCAATTTCCGAAGAAATTGTTCAGATCGGATCACTATAGCATATGGCTGCCGTACAAACTGAGTGATCGGTTCTTGTATGGAATCAAAATCTTTTGCACTTTTGAACGGTATTATGGCTTACCAATTCTTCAAACACTAAATATATGGAAAATATCTTAACTAACGTTTGTTTATGATTTCCGTTCTTTACGTATAGAAACATAGAGATTCGTTTTCAAAAATGCTAATTAAATCTGCTCTGAGCTCACTTAAGGCGCTAAGTCTTTCGTGTATGAATTCCAGGTCAGGTCAGCAGATCTTGTAGTTCTAGGTCTACCAGACAGGTGGATTCATTTTCTCCTCGCCGTTTACACATTTCGTCAATAATTGAATAATTGCCGTGTCGAATACGATGCTTTTGCAATTCAGTTCCAATTCGTTGTGGCTGCACACAGTTACCGATTCAAATGCAACTGTACATTTAAACCATCATCCTGTAACATTTTTTCTTTCTTCTTTCAGGTGAAAACAAATTGCAGTTTTGTACTTTGGAACATTTAAATGAGGTAAAGTACATAGCCAAATTATTTAGTGATAAAAAAGTGATAATAAACACTCGACAAATTCGCGGTTTATCGATTATAAAATCGATATTGAAACAAAACAACATAGGCTACACTGAAGATTTATTATAATATAATATCGGCAATATGTACCAACTTAATAAATATTTCCGAAGAATATAGAATTAAACGATTTCTTAAGAAAATTTATTCGCATAAACAGACACCTGCAAACGGTTAAAATATACTTAGATGGCTTTTGGTAGAAGAGTATAAAATAATATCACAAAGTTGCATACATTTTAAATAGTATACTTAAAACTCGTCTCACAAATATCGATAGAAAATTAAATTAATTACTATCCGTGAATGAGATTATTAAATCTAAATAAGTGGTTTTAACTCCGACAATTCAGTTACAGTCTTCTTACAACTAATAGTGTCGTTATGACTAGCAGCGTTAAAGAACACTGCAACGACTGACTCGAGTTTGGATCCACATAAACGTTTTTCACATATTTCTCGAAAATGTCCTCCATAATGCGTTTCGAATTATCCGCTTTCAAATCGGCTAAACCTCTCAGTCCGTCCGTCTTATCACGGAACATAACATTATTACGTTTATCGAAAATGCCATACATCGTGAATGGGCGTGTTTCGGGGCGATAGCTTTTGCCGAAAAGCTGATCGATGTCACGCAATGAATTATAGATTTCATTGCTGCGCGTCAACGAATTGTTATGTGTCATTAGATGGCCACGTGTGGTCCAATGCATATAGCAGTACTCGAACTTTGAGTGACGCTCATTGCTGTCGTAGGGACATAAAACGCGAAAGGACTTATGCCCGGTGTCACGCACCCATTTCGCTGTTATATTGCCCACCGTATAGTTTTTATATATAGCCGAGCTGAGAAAAGCCACTTCACCACCTTCGGCTAAACAACGTAAGGCGCCCTCATCGCCACGATAAGTATCCGGACAGGTGCGATGTGCATTCGGATGCCAGGTACACGAGTCACGGTGAAAATACGATTGTAATGTGGTCATGCGTTGTGTTACATTAACAATAGTTTCCTGCACCGACAAGTGTGCGGGTCCTTCGTATGAGGGCAGACAAGCTATAGCGTCTTCAAGATCGGCAAACGAATTGAATTTCGAATTCTTATGTACCACTGCTATAACGGCATAACGTTCATGCATATCTTGGGAGTATTCGTAAAGTATTGGCACGAGATTGTAGTCACGTTGTGCTCGTATACGATTCTCGTGATCGACCAACACAACATCGGCTGCCTTATATTTTATATCATCCATACACGAATCTAAGCTTTCGGAGCGTATACACTGGATATTGGGCTCGATGCCATACACTTGTGAGGCTTCCTGCAGCCATGAACATTTAACATGCTGAATTATGGAGGTAGTACAGTAAACTATCGAACGTGGCGGATTGCATTCGGGAAAGCTATAGGCGCTCTGAAAAGCTGTTGCCTGATCGAGGTAATCATCGATGGGTATAACATTATCCAACGTGACGATTTCAATGTGATAATTCTCCAATAGACTTAGCAAGGCATTCTGCCAGCTATTCGGCACGTCGTGGTTCAAACCGGCGACTAGATTTTGTATCTGTGCAGCGTGACTGCGGCGCGCCGCTATAACTGGCCAGGGTTTGGCAACCCAAACACACGGCCGTTCAGTCGTGATAGGCTGTAGATGTCCATCGGCGCAGAGGTAGCTATACTCGGATGGATTAGCCTGCGCAGGCAAACCGGTTAACTGTAATTATGTAGAAATATAATTAACTGAATCTCGTACGGGCAAATAAGTTAAAGACTTACGCCAAAATGACTGCGCACATCGTCCAGTCGTGCCCAAGCAACATTGCCGACACCATTGGTTAGGCAATACAATGCGCCACGACGTCCCCAATGCTTGTCGCCAATATCGCAGCGATATGAATCGTAGCACAGCTGACATAGCGACGGATAGCGATCTTTGAGTATGCGATCCTGTTTAGGATCGGGCACCCATGGACCGGCTTTGCAACTGGGTCCAAAGTACTTAGCCGAGGCGCTAATGCGATCTTCAGTCAATGAGATTTCTGGATTGCATGATTTCGAAATCAATGTCGATTCGAAGTACTGTAAATTAAAACATTCGTTGTTATTGTTACTTTTGAAATAGCCAATAATATTCTAGATTTTCTAAACAAACATACATACATTAGCTAAAACTTCAGTCCAGTGATTGCCCAAACCATAACCGGGATGACAAAGTTTCGCACCACGCAAATCATGCACTGTGTGTATGTTGGCCTCATTGTCCACAACCGCGACTATTTCATATTCGAAATATGTTTCATGTGAGCGCATCTCACTCGTGACTAAAATCTCCACGCTAGCCCAACGCGCTGCTATTAGCTCTTCGGCGGAGAGTACGCCAAAGTGTGCGGTACCTTTATGTATACGTCGTACGCAATCTAGCCGATCTACACCAATCACGCATTCAATATTACTGGTGGCTTCCAGAAGTGGGCAAAATTTCGGCGTTTTACGGTAGGTACCACGAGACTCGACAATGCAGACGCGCACTGTGGAATAAAAGTTTTTTATACATATTATTTACAATCAAAAATAAGCTCTGCAGACTAAGTTTAATGATGTTGGGTTTGACAAATGGCTTTCATACTGTTCACACACAAATTAAAATCTTCTAAACTTTACTCGACTAGTTTTATAAAAAGTTACTTGGCTTGCATTGAAATGCCTCTACTTCCCCTAACAGAGCTTTTTCAAGCTCTTTTCTTCCACTTGACGTACTTCTCCTATTATGATTTTTTCGAGCTTTGTTCTTCTATATGACGTACAAATATTTTCGAACAGAAAGCCAGTAATTGTTCTCTATATAGCTGTAATGCAAGTTTTACAGTCTCCATAATTATCGTCAGCCAAGGCAGCATTGAAAGCTGCAGTTTTCATTTCCAAATTCTTGTAGCCGCTTGTGGAACTGTGGTCTGCAATATCTTATGTATCATCTTAGTTCACAAAGACTGAGTTTCCATATAAGTAATAGAAAAGAGGACGTACCATATTTATATTCCAAGTGTGCCTCTTCTGTAGACATAATTCGACATTCAAAGCTAATATAGATTTTCTTTAAAGGGCACACCTGGCTACATTGACGGTATCCAACTGATCTGTTCGTATATTATATTTTAGGGATTTTCAACACATATTGTATACAGATTTTTATTTTTATTTGAATAACTGATGTATACATATATAAGTTGTAAGCCGCCTCCGAACCTCTTCTTGGTTGTAATACACTCAAAGTTTTGATATTGCCTGCCGAAGCAAACACTTTTTTCTTCGGAGACTTCTACCGAACCTAGAACTTGCGGGGGCGCTATTGCACACCTCTGACTTTCCCACTACACAACAACCAAATAACTGCCACCAAGTGATTCTCGGGTTGAGATCACCTCAGCCACAGGTGGACGGATAGATAGACAGGCAGTCACTCGTATTTCAACTCGTCGCATCATCCTGATTAGTTATATATATACTCGTGTAACCCTCTATCTAACTCGATTATTTTTAGATGATACAAACAACCGTTAGGTGAACAAAACTATTATAGTCTGTAGCAAAGGTATAGAAATATTGCTTTTTTCATTGCCTGCATTTTTTATAGTCAGCAATTCTTGGATTTTAATGAGAAATAATTACAAAAAAGCTAAAATTTTTTAATCTTTTATATATACATATACGTATTAAGCAATTTGTATCACAAAAGCTTGCGAAGGGCATTATATTTTATTGTAAGATTACCATCAACAATTCAGAGCTGCTTTTCGGCTATTTTCAAAAGCTTTTTAATAAACTGTTATCTTTCGCTTATGTGCCTTCGTTAATAAAATTTGTATATTTTTTTTATATGCAAATTCATGGGATCTTGCTTCAATTAAAGATCAGCGTGATATTTCAACGAAATATCTACAAACTGACCTTGAATATTCCGAGAAGAAAGGCGCGTTAATATTACCGGTCATTAAACGAGTTGCCACGCGCAGTGCTCGAATGGTGAACCTGACACCGTTTGAGTCATGCTACTCTACAGACCGTGCAATGTTTTGCTGGAGTCCCTACGTTTTACATACACACACATACAAGTATATGTAGAAAAATATGCATTGCTGTCAAAATTTGACTAGTTGTGCGAGCTACCAATAGTCATCCATCCGCTCGTTTGCTCATTGCCACTATTAATTTGTTGTCTAGTCTATAATTATCAAGCAAGTATAGTATTATAAGTACTATGAGCGATACACATACATACTTATACAAGCGTAGATATGTATGGTATATCCATGTGGTCTATAAAACAAGCGGATGATGTAGCCTACACTGGCGTTCCCCGCCGCCGTTGGATGCGTGTGACAAAATCAAGCAATTTTGCAATTTCATACATCTGAATATATATGGTATATACTTGTATGTACACATGCGTTTTATTTACAGAAATGTACGCATATGTAACCGGTTCCATGCGTAATTGTAACCGATAGCGGTCCGTATTGTGTATCTCCTGTTGCAGCCAGGGGATTCACTAGTTGTTTGTAAAGGTAATTTTTATTAATCTTTTGTGGTTTGCCTTTCTTTTTAGACTGTTTTATTTTTAGCATATGCAAAATATGTGTAGGTATAAGGATATATATATATATATAATATATATCGTTGCATAATTAATTGATATTTATCTTTTGGTTTCTTTGTTTACCTTCTTTCGCTGATTTAATACAAGCATTCTTAATTTATGATGTTAAAAAAAAACACGAATGTTATTTATGAGCTTCGATGACTTTGACAAATAAGCAAATAATTTTGACATTTGTGAATTTCTTTCGAAAGAGTTGCTAGGCGCTGTCACAGCCGACATTAAAGTACATCTCATAAGTTGTTTTAGCCATTTGGAGATGATTGAAAACTTATAAAATGTAGAATTTGCTAGCGGAATAGCTGTTAAACCAGCTGTCAGAATTAACGCCTGTATCTGTCAATTGACTATCTAGGATAAGTATTTTTCTACGTTTATGTCTGTGGGGATACATCAAGGCAAATGATATGCTAAAAAACCCGCTAACTAATAACTGACCAGTTGATAACCAAGTCAAATCCGCTAAGTTATTGACGAGATAAGATCATATATGCAGTTCCGACAGAACAAAAGACTTGCGATTTTTTCCCTCGAGTAGTACAGCCTCCTTTGACAGCAAGATTTGAATGAAGAAAAGTTGTGAGATCGTAGAAAGTCGACTTAGAGAGAGATCTATACACTACAACTAAAACAGAATACGAAAAAGTTTGCTAAATTTGCAGTCAACAACATTTCTGCTTCGGCTTACGAAGCTTTGAGCGACATTTTTCATATGAATTGCATCGACGACACTCCAGATCGAGAAAAAAGTCGGGTGGAACTTGCAAAAAACAAATGTGTACCTCTTTCCTGTTTCATAAACTCGAATATTAGTTGCAGGACACTCGTTATGGGTAGTTAAAGATCATCATAACTACTCTTCGAACAAATGTATGCAAAATGGTACCCATCGTTGTCATAATTGATGAAGACCATTTCTAAGGTGATAGTAAGGATTTGTATTGAAGGAAAAAAAAATGAAATATGAACATAATTTTTTTTTTTACCATAGATAATTTTTAGATAAAAAAATCGCTTAAGGTTTTTGCGTTTTTCTGCTTTAAAAAATGTATTTTCAAATTTTAACATGCTTATGTACATATCATCTACTTTTTTCAATTTTTTTTTATGTTTTATATAATACATACATATATAATTTTGTAAGTGGTATCTATTAAGACATCTCCTTCATTAATTAAGCTTAATTTGTAGACAGGTTTTAAACAACGAAATTGCAAATTAAGATCCAAAATTTCATTTAGCGGTAAAAATAAATAGAAAAAAAGTATTTAAATTAAAACCGGTGTAAGATTTATATTGTCATTAGTAATTAATTACGCGAAGTAAAAGTCTTAAAAATATATTGAAAATATTTTGTACAAATAATGAGCATTAATTACAGACGTCTGTAATTATCTTATTTGTATGTGTATATCTATTTTTGTCTATAGTTATGTTCCTTTGCAATATCGCAGTTTTCGATTCTGCAAGGCTAGCACCCGGTCTTTCATCATTACCATTAAAAAATAACGAAACAGAAATTTTTATTTTCTTAATTTTTGCAAATTTGAAAAATGTTTTAATTGTATAGTGCAATATTCGGCTAAAATAAAATAAAAACACGATGTTAAGAGGTTGCCCCTTGTTGGCAAATTACAACTCAAAGCACACAATCAAAGCAAAAAACAACAGAAAATATAATACTTATTAAACTGCAGAATGTTACAAAAGCGAAAAGTAAAAATAGATTTTTGAGCATGGTTGCCAAATAAAAAAAATTATTTAGTAAAATTGATATGGAAAACGAAACAGTACGATATTTGACAAGTCGACAAGTGACAGTATGCGTTTCAAAGGATTTTTTTTGAAAATATTAAAGTAGAAAACATTTCGGAACAGAGTAGCCATTGGTTTGCAATTTTTATATAATTAAATGAATAAAATAAACTAAATATGTTTGAGAAAAATTATTTATGAAATATGTATGAAAAGTGCTGCCACCATAAATTGAAAAAAAAATGAAAAAAAATTCGGTTGAACCGAGGCTATGTATAATGCTCTCTACAAATACAAAAGGTTGCTTAAAGAACTTGATTTTGGCCAGTCAGTTTGTATGGTAGATTTATGGTATAGTGATCCAATCTGAACAATTTTTTCGTAGATTACATCGATGCCTTGGAGAATAATCTTAGCCAAATTTCTTAAAGATATCTCGGCAAATGAACGTGAAGTTTTTCATACGAGCACTTGATTCTGATCGTTCAGTTTGTATGGCAGCTATATGCTATAGAGGTTCGATATTTGCGGTTCTGACAAATGAGCAGCTTTTCGACGAAAAAAGGGTGTTTGCAAAACTTCAGATCGATATCTCAAAAACTGAGGGACTAGTTCGTGTATATACAGATGGACATGGCTAAATCGACTTTAAAAATTATATTTTAAAATAATGTATATAAAAATATATTAAAAAAAATATATATTTTATTTATTTCAAGTATTAATTAATTAGATTTTCTTCCTAGTCATTATTTCCGAGTTACTGTTACATACAAAAAATATATATTAACCAATAAGAAACAAACTATTCGCTACAATTAATAAAAAGCTAATACGTCATATTTCCATACAATCTGCATAAAATCAGAATTGCTTTAAACGGTTTTATTTAGTTACTGCAATTAGTTAAGTAACCTGACTAATTTCCAGTTTTGTCATTGGGTTATTTGTTGAATTCTCCAAACAAGTTTTATTGCTTTAAATTAGCAAACGTTAAAATTTATGAACTAATATATTTTCTAGTGTTTTTTATTCGTTTGTTTTTGTAAAAAAAATTTAAAATATTTGAAGCTCAAAGTCAAGTAGACAAAAACCTGGTTCAGCACGACATGACAACAATTATGATTGCTCGGCGAAGTGTAGAGACAGTTATGATAGATTTTTGGCTTGTTTGGTTTAATTTTAACTGTGAGATTTATTTACGTCAACATTTAAAAAAAATTAGAAAAAGTATGTCGTTAAGTTATAAATAGCGTACGAAACTACTAGTGTTGTTGTGCTGCTATCAGTTCAATAGAAAAGTGTGGTATAAATCATATAGATTGGCATAGCTAAACTGGGATAGAATAGAAAGCGGGTAACAGTTTAATAAGCTATCTAGATACTCGCTCTCATGTTGTGTTGAGTCGAACAGCTTGGTTGTTGCCTTCATATTTACATTTTTTACAAGAGAGCAGCGCTTCAAACTAGCGAGCCGATAAGTGGCGTATCGAACAGTTAAATGAAGGGTTATAAGTTTGCTATTTTCGGTGAAAAATTCCGAGAATTAAATTAACTTTATATTTGCTAGGAATAATATTCTCGTTTTCACAAAAAATTCCAAATAAATTTGCTGCGTATTAATTCGTAGTTACACCTTAACCCTTTAAGAGGCACTAGCTAGTATTAGTTTGATAATTTGAAGTGTTTCTTTAGAGTTGTCATGCGTTTCAGTGACAAATTTCTAACCAGTTCTTCTTGTAACTCTGATTTTATGATTGAAATTAAATTTTAAATAAATTATACTATAACTATTACTTGAATTATAATTAATGTTAATTGCACGGAAATTTAATAAAAAATTTTTTAATATATTAATTTGCAGAGAAAATACATCAACCTAAAGATTAGAAACAACAGTTGATTTTAAGCCATAAAATTTTTCTAAAATTATAATTTTTAATGCCTTTTTGGGTAATTGTTAATTATTAAAAAAAAAAAAAAAAATATTACATAAAAAAATTTCTGAATGTAAACTTAAATTTAAAGGTAGCTATGAATTTTAAGTTATGCGCAAAATATTTTAAGAAACAGGGTTGCCAGAAGTTTCAGTTGCAAAAATCACATCACTTCGTGCTTGTCATTAAATGAGTTCAATGAAATTTTATTCAAATATTACTTAGTCAAATAAATAACTACTATTACTAATTGAATTATAATTAAGTCAATTTAATAAACATTTTGATTCAATATTATATTTTTAAAGTTGAAAAATTTCATTGAATTTGTGAAAAAATACTTCAATTAGAATGATTAAAATTTTTTTAAATAAATTTACAGATTTTTCCAAAATTGCATCTTTATACGCTGAACAATGTAGCTATATTAAGTTTGCCACGAATTCTGTAACACATAGAAGAAAACGTGGAAGACACTATATTCAGCGTGACGAGCTGAGTCGATTTAGTGCTGAGTCTGTCTGCCTGCCTGTATACTTGTATACGTAGACTAGTCCCTTAGTTTTTAAGATATTGCTCTAGAATATTGCATACGTTCTTTTCTTCTCAAGACTCATTTGTCGAAATCGCATACAAATTGATCGATCAAACTCATGTCCTTGTTGGGAGAACTTTTCTATTTGACAAGATATCTTCACGAAATTCGGCATAGTTTAAAATCTAAGGCATCGCTACAATCTCCGCATGTATGGTTCAGATCGGACCATTATATCATATAGCTGCTATACAAACTGACCGATCAAAGACAAGCCCTTGTATGGAAAACTTTTTTATTTGACAATTATATATTTTATTATAGCTTCGGTGCAACCAAAGTTAACGTTTCTTCTTGTTTGAGTTACTACTCAACCTAACAAGGTTTTACTGTACCGAAAACGATAACACCAACATCATTTGCATTAGTAGCAGAGCTTACTTTACAACATTTAATTACAATTAGACATTGTAATTATGAGCAATTGTAATGTAATTTGGCTTATTTACTACCGACTTACACTTTCCATCGTCAAACTCGTTGGCGCTCGTTTCGACATTAAATACTGATAAGATTGCCAGCAGCAAAACAAATGTACGCCCCTCGATTACGAACATCATCACCACAGTATAGATAATTAAACACACGTACTAGTTAATAATATTATTTATTTCCAGTAACTATTTTAATCACCGCTAGTTGTATCTCGTATTGTGTGTTTGTATGTGTGTATGTTTGTTTTTAAAATTGCAAGGAAAGCCCTTATATTGCACAATTTCACACTTAATTTGTGAATGTAACACGTTGCATTAATAGCTTTGCACTTTCATAAATTTCCTCGCAGGCTTATTTGTGGGTGTTTTCGCGTAAAAAAAAAAGTAATGCAATTGTTATCACTAGCAAAACGCCCACTTTGTAACTGTAACTGCTGCTAAGTTGCACAATTTGTTGCCGTTTTATTTATTATCCATTTATGGTACATTTGCGATTTTCAGTCGGTCACTTTTTCTATTTTCTCAAACTCCGACTTCTACACTGAGCTTTTGCGTCCAACAAACTACACACAGCGATCGCCGCACAACAACTGAGCGTTGATTTTCGAAAATGTTTGTTTACATTTGAGATTTTGAAATCATTGCCGTAAAAGCGCACTTTGTATCGCGCTTGGAAAAACCGGTTTACATTCTCTCGCATCTCAGCTTGGAGCGCCAACGAAAATGATCTAAAGCTGAGATTTACTTAAGTGCAGATCAGTCAAGCTGTGTAATTTCTAGGCTGTTGTTGTTGTTGTTGGTGATTTTTTTGCGCCACTGTTTGAGTGACAAGTTCAATGCAGTTTGGTTAGGCAGCAGCAACTTGTGGTTCTGCTTTTAATGAAAAGTGGCAATGAGAATAAAAATGCAGTAGTTAAATAAAAAAAAAAAAACTAAAAAGGCGAGTCGCTCCACATGACCGATCAGGTTTCCGACAATGCATATCATCATTTTATGATTTTCGAAAAATAAAATTTTAATGTGTAATCTCGAAAAAGCACATAGAGCGCCGCCTGATAACTATTAGCTACAATATATACAAAATAATTAAACATTTATTTATTGCTTAAATAATTTTTAATATAAAATATACAAATCTTCAGTTTAAAATTAAAATTTGGACCATTTAATAACGGTTGCTTGCTTGTAATAATGTTGCGAATGCAAGCCGGATTGCCAAAATATTATTGCTTGTATAATTTTTATTACTCACCTTGGAATATCACATAAAAATCGACTCTAACATAATGGTTTTAAGTTTTTTAACGTGTAAGTAAATATATTCTGATTCAAGCCATGATTTCTGTTTTATAAACATTTTGCTGGGCTTAAGAAACCCATATTAAAATCTAAAATCCTCCACAAAAGATCTTATAAAATATGTTTTAGCTTTAAAGTATTTATAAAACATGTTAAAATTCACAGAGCTAAACTTTGGTAATTGATAAAAATATAGTTTCGAAACTCGCTTTTATAACATCCACATACTTCTAATAATTTTTTTCCTTCATTTAACCCGTTAAACTGATGAAAATAATAACGCGAAGGATCACATCGGCTCCATTCAACCTAAGTATTCTTATGATGGATTCAAAAAAAAAAACATATATATATATGATTTCACTTATTTTAATAAATGCTAGTTCTAAAATCGAACCTAAATGCTGAGCGCTATCAAAAAGTTGTTTTCTAATAACAGTAATATTTTGAAAAGCTTTTGTAGTCTCAATATATTTCAGATATCATAAAATCCGTTTGCTGCTTGAAAGTACATAAATTGTCGCACATGATACAAGATACACAGCACAAGTAGTATGAAAACCTAGATTAATTACAAATACTATGTTTTTGCAACTTTTTTTCGAAAAATCACAAATTAAACTATTAAAGCATAATATTTGAGTCATTAAGAACCCGCGTTATTGCTGTTGGGTTAATCACTTTGTAAAAGTAGTGCTTAAGCTAATGGATTTTGTAACCGATAATCAGAATGTGCAATTTCACTGTTACTTTCCTCGGTTTAGGTTGTGACAGATGTAACCAAGAATTACAAACACCAAATTGCAGCGGTGATATTAAATGCTATATAGATTGGTTTTTGTTTCTATGTTGCCTTAACTCGTTCTATAGTGTTTGAAATATATTTTTTGAAATTTTTCGAGTTTAATATTTTTTCTATTAAATTTTTACATTTTCAGAAAATATTAAAAAAAATTGTTTTCATTTGAATTTTAAGTTAAAAAGAGAAGATATTAAAAAAAAAATTCTTCAAAATTTATAAAAATATTGCAATTCTTTTTCGAGAGGAATATTTTCTTTATAACATTTAATTAAAATTGAATTTAATTTTTAAAATTAATCTGACAATAATAGTTTTACTAATATATAATCTAGCACCCGATCGAAGTTTTTTTTAAATTAACAAAATGCCAGCCTCAGGAAAAACTTTGCAGATTTTCTAGAAGAACCAACAGTTAACTGCTTATAAAAAAACAAAAAAAAAAAAAAAAGAAATCCTTCGAAAACTCCTGTTTTCAAAAAGCCTTAACAATTTCATTGAAATCTACCGAACGGTTTTTATGATTCAATCATATAAGGTTGTGTCAAAAGCCAAAAGTTTGTCAAAAGTGTTTGAAACCATAATGCCAAAATCAGCCGTTTTGCTTTGTATTCTCTTGTTTTTATGATTCAAAAATTAATTTTTCAAAGATTTCAACCAATGAAAATGCGTTTTTCGAATACGAACAGATGGTAAATTATACAAAATGATCACACTGTAAACAATAATATCATGAGAAAAACAAAAAACAGCTGATTTTGATATTATGGTTTAAAATAATTTTTCGTAATATAGAATGGAATCACGACGCTTTTCGAGTCACAGTGGTAACTAGTTCGCACCACAAAAGTCATTTGAAGTTTTACACTCAATTTTCGTAAAGTAAAACATAACGTTCCAGAGCGCCCGAGAACCCATTATCGAATAACTCGAAATGTATTTATCGAATTTACTTAAAATTTTAAGATATACTTTAAGAATATGCAAAAAACCAATTAAATTTGACAAAATGTAAAAAAATAAAATTTAATATTAATTAAAATTTTTTCGATATGCAACTAAAAGTTGCAAAATAGTCAACATTTTTGACAGTGTACCCATATTTTGTTAAAAATTGTTTCACTTGTTTGTGCTAAATACTTATTTTTCTTAATTTTAACTGAATAAAGTTGCACCGTTTTTTGAGTTGAATATATTTTTTCAAACCAAAAATTTTATTTTTTAAATTAAATACACTACATTGAGAGTTTTTAATAAAAAACCATTTTAATGTAAACAATTTATTTTTTTAATTTAACAATAATTAAAAAAGAATTTGGATATACAGTAAGATAATTGATGAAATTTACGTCAAAAAGTGCAAAATATTGAGAATTTATATTGAATTTGAATATGTATTTAACTACTTGAATCGTTTATGGCAGCTCCATACTTTTACTCTCTTTTCAATACTGATAAGCCTTATCAATATTTTATTGTATATGAACTTTTTATAAATCGTATTGTACCATATAAATGTCTGTATATACAGACATATAGTATACATATGTACGTCTGACTATAAGTACTCGAACGTGCGATTAGGGTAAACTCTTAACTTTTCTTTGTGTATATTTATTTATAGATATACATATATACATATTAAAGTATGTATGTATATATATATATTTCTACAATGTTGTTGCAAATTATTTACCAAGTGTCTGCTCTTTAAAATATTGTCATAAATTTTATTTTGTTTATATTTTGTTTGTTCACTCAGTAAAGTGAGGTTCTGCTCGCGCTTCAAATCGTAAGAAGCGATAAAAGTCTTATAACTTCAATATTATTGGGAGTAGAAATGCATTCGATTGTTTTTAGTGCGACGAGCAACAATTGCACGGGTGAGTCTACTTTCTGGCAAATAACTTACTTGAAGCAAACACTCGTAGTGATTGACAGCTGGGGGAAATGTGTGGAGAATGTGTGCATAGATTTCAAGCTAGATACGAATTTTGATATAATAAATAACCAGAACAATAATGTGAATATTATAAAAATATTGTTAGCAAAAATTTAATTTCATCGTGAGAACTAAATTATAATTAATAATTGTAATTATTATGGGGACTAACGAGGCAAGTAGTCATGCACTAGTGAAGCAACAAGTACGAGACGAATATGATTTTATACAATAATAACACAACGAGTGACTTAATTTGTTAATTACCAGTTGTAAGGGTGCTTTAAGGACAACTTATGGCATTAATATTTGTAATGGTTATTCTAAATACGCAAATCATCGTGATTTTATGGTGTATTTTGCATTTTGTGAACTGAGAATTAAAATATTGCATGTTAAGCAAATGTCTTCCGATTACACATTCTAAACTTGATCAAAGCAAAATCTCAAAATTATGGAATCACTTGCTTTCAGTAGTATTTACTTTTTGTTAAGCAAGGTTCTAAGTGAGTATACTTTTGACATCAAAAGCAGCTATTTATATATTCTAATAGTCAGAAACGGCTTAAAATTTTTAGGCTCCTAAATTTAACGCAAGAACTTTGGAACCTGAGAACAAATAGAAAAAGAAGTTAAGAATATTTTCTAGATATGTGGCAATTAAGGTATTTTTCACATCATACACTGACCGTAGTCTTCCAGACATGTAATTTACCAGCAACATTAATGAGAGAGTGTGCTGATTATCTTCAAAGTTGAGACATAATTGAGTTCTGAATGCATAATCGATTCATTCATCTTTTTACATGTTCTGGCATGTCGAAGAGGTGGCTGCCGAAACGGGCTTTATGTCGCAGATTAAGTTAATTGAAGGTTTGTTGTTGCCGCGAGTGCGTTGTTGGCGAAGTGCCATTCTATTTCTACAGCGCGCAAGATTATCAAAAACTCGGCTACGTACATTGTATGACTCTGTGCTTCTTCTTTTACGCCTTGCGTCTCGCGTTAATCGGTTGGATACCAAACCCTTGGTACTTAGTTGGTGTGGAATTGTTTTTCTCAGGCAGCACCTATGCGTTGTGCTACACGTGTATTGTAGCTTACGCGTCAGCTGTGGCACCACGGGAACTTCCGCCACCGTTCAGGGTCTAATGGCTGGCGTGATGATGGTTTGGGGCTCTCCATTGGT